AGAAGAAGAAGAAGAAGAAGAAGAAGAAGAAGAAGAAGAAGAAGAAGAAGAAGAAGAAGAAGAAGAAGAAGAAGAAGAAGAAGAAGAAGAAGAAGTAGCAACGATCCTCCTTGTGCGATCCGGTCGACTCTTACCTTTCCGGGACTAACTGAGAACTATCGCATCTAGATACTGGACTTACTTTTATGGTGAGTATTGTATTGATGTTATGAGATGGTTTGTTCGCAAGGTACGGAGTTCTTCTCGAGTCAACTTATAAACGCTAACGACGTATTCAGGGGGATGACATGGAAGAAGCGAAGGCCATCAAAACAAAATGGACTAAACGTAGACGGATCAAGGATGGACCTTTCAGCTCAATTAGTGTCAGCCTATACAAAGTGGATACTGCTCTAGGTGAAAAGCCACCTTTGTATTTCAATCGCCGTGAGTCCTCTCGCACAGCTGAAAATGGTTAAGTACGGATTGTTGACTATACTATCCTCAGGCGTGAACCAACATGCCACATTGAACCCAAGTCTCGGTGTCATTGAAAAGGAACGCATCCCAATTGAACGCGGTGCAGACAATAAGCTGTACTACGTCGTCCAATACGAAATCCACGCGGTGTACTATTCCGCTCACTATGTATACACCCTCTGGTATGAAGGTCGCAACTATGGGAGCGTCAAAGCCGACTACATCTGAGCGTGAAGCTTCTAATATTTGAATTGGATCTGGTTTGGACAATCGTAGTGACCAGAAATAGCCACTCGTCGGCCATGGTATTTACAAGCAAGGCGGAAAGGGGAAGGGTTAACATGCGTCTGGGCGTTGTCTTCTGGATTCGTTTTGGCAGTGGGGGATCGGGATAGCTATTGAGGCAGAGCTTCATCTAACAGGCCGTCTAACGTGTACCTAAAGCTAAAAAAAATTATCTGCCTGACGGTAGAAAGATGTTCGATGCATCCATACCAACCGTAGCCATCACCCTGTTTATCACGTGATCCAAACACCTAAGCACCAGCCACACTTACCATGCGCCACAAGGCATTTGCCGCGCCGAACAAATCCACAACGGATCTTGCATCTTTCGCTGAAATCCAGAAATTCAGCAACAATCGGCGACATCATCAACCTCCCCCCCCCCATCACACACACAATGTCGAAGCTTGGAAAGTAAGCGGAAACTACCCCCCAATCCCCAAAGATCCAGGGTCAAGAAGCGACAAAAAAAGTAGAGAACGAAAAGAAAGAAAATCTGACCAGGACTGTTTTTCCACTTTCCAGCCGCGCCGACTGGGCCGACGACGAGGAGTTCGACGACCCCTCCGCTCTCCCCCCGCAGCAAATCACGACCAACAAAGATGGCACGAAGACTATCGTCTCCTACCGATTCAACGACGAAGGCAAGAAGGTGAAGGTGACCCGCCGGATCAAAACAACCGTTGTTCGCGAACATGTCAACCCTCAGGTCGCGGAGCGGAGGACCTGGGCCAAGTTCGGTCTGGAGAAGGGCAACGCGCCCGGACCTTCCTTCGATACGACCTCCGTGGGTGAGAACATTGCTTTCCGGCCCAGCGTCAACTGGAAGGTTCAGGCGGCCGAGGCGGAGAAGAATGGTGGCGAGAAGGGCAGTATGAAGGATCAGCTGAAGGACAAGAAGGTCAAGTGTCGTATTTGCAGTGGCGAGCACTTTACTGCTCGTTGTCCCTTCAAGGATACTATGGCTCCTGTCGACGAGCCCTCTGCTGGTGGTGAGGGTGGTGCTGAGGATTCTCCGGCTGCTGGCGCTTTGGGTGCTGGTACTTCTAGCTACGTGCCCCCTCATCTGCGGAAGGGTGCTGCTGGTGGCGGAGAGAGAATGGCTGGCAAGTATGAGAAGGATGATTTGGCGACTCTGAGAGTTACGAACGTGAGTTTCCCCCATTGCCTCACCCCTGTCCTTCATTTACTGGACACTGTTTTGCTATTTGCTGGTCGGTCTTCCCGGAGGGGAGGGGGGAGGGGTAGAGGGGACAGGGGATGCTAGTTTTCCACCTTCTGTTCCCCTCTCTCTCCTTTTCCTTGCCTGCTCTGCCCTCTCCTTCCCCTCTTAACACTCCTATTGGTGTTGTTCTGAGAGGGAAAGAAAGAAAGAGGAAGCAGCCCTTTCGGGCACACACATGGATGTCATGAGAACAGCAATCAGCTTCCTCTACTTTCCTTGCTTCTATTGCATTCGGCTTCCCACGGACACATCACTAACTGACAACAAACCCAAACAGGTGAGCGAGTTGGCAGAGGAAGGAGAACTGCGGGATCTGTTCGAACGCTTCGGTCGGGTCACCAGAGTTTTCCTTGCCAGAGACAGAGAAACCCAGAGAGCCAAGGGCTTCGCTTTCATCAGCTTTGCGGATCGGGACGATGCTGCACGTGCTTGCGACAAGATGGATGGCTGTAAGTTATCCCTCCATTTCATTCATTCCATTCCATTTCATTTTTTTTCCGCGCCATATTTGTTTTTCCATTGCCATCGTTGCAATGTCAGCAACAAAGCAAGTTATCGGAATCGCAACTAATATTTCCTCTTCATATAGTCGGTTACCGTCACCTCATCCTGCGCGTCGAATTCGCCAAGCGTGCCACTTAGATTTTCTCCAATTTCCAATTCCCACATTTTTTTCTTCCCACACTTTATTCTCCTCCTTATTCAACTTCTTTTGCTTTTTGGTTTTCCGTACGTATCGTGACATGACACCCTTGGGTCTCTTTTCGTCAGGCAGGCGGGTATCTCCATCCATCCACACTTTCCATGGCTGAAGAAGATCTATTGACTACATTTCTTTGTATTGTATGATCCGATCGATAATGATGATTACTGAAGAACAAAATGCATTCTAATGTGTCGTGCGTGTGTGTGTCGTCTTCCCTCTTTGCTTTTTTGGGGTCGATTTGATACAGAGAAAAGCAGCGTGGTCTGGTCTTCCTTTATCCTTATTCGCGCACTACTCTCTTCCGGTTCAATGTGTCTATTTGTCATGCTGAGTTGCAAGGCAAGGCAAGCTTGCTTGCATGCTCTTTTTTTTTTTTTTTCTATTTCTTCCTTTTTACTCTTCCGTGCATTGATCGATCGCGGGTGGAAGTATTCTCAGATCGAGGGAGAAGGTCCAAACCCAAAAACAAAAGTACTTCAATTTGTTCGTTGGAGTCACACTGCATAGAGTGTAATAGAGTAGTTAAGTAAAAATGTTCGGTCCTGCTTACTTGGGAACCTAGTAGTACTGTCTAGGTTCCAGGACGGGGAGGAACTGGTTTTATTGGTTATTGGGGTAATGCTCCGTATCATCGTCCGTCAGGTATCGACAGCCTGGCTGGGGTCTACATCTCAATCAGACGGTAGATATTGAAGAGCCTCCTGCTTGGTATGTCTCGGGTAGTTGGTTATTAGATCCTTGCTATGATGACTCAATGCGTATTAGCTGACAAGCTTCTATGATTTGGCGGCATGTGTCAGAAAGGCTTAGATTTGAGCCACTCGGGGCGCGACAAGGCAGCATTGACTGTACTGATCAGGCTTTGCAGAGACGAGCTGCATGGTGAATAACGACCATGGAGCTACAGAGTGGACCAACGAGCCAAGGTCATGGTCAGTCTGTAGATGGTCCGGGGGTCAACAGCTAGCTGTCTATGAACGCCGGGGATGCTGAGATATTGGTCATGACAATCGCGAAGGGAGGCTGTGTTGTCGTTCGGTAAAGGTGGAAGGCTGCTGGCTGATAGTGCGTTTGCATGAGCTTCGTCATGAGTTTCATCGGCAAGGCAGCTCTGCATGTGTATCTGTCTAGGGAAGAAAAATCGGCATGACAAGCGGGAACGACGCACTGCTCGAGTAGACGATTCCGCCTTGTATGGAGAGCATGACCAGATGTGAGATCGATATCGAGCCGCCATGACCCCAGGGCCATAGAGGACATCTCCCAGCATACGAGCGGATGCACGGGACTATTCAGAGCGTGGCGCCGGGCCAGTGGCTTTCGATATTCAATCACATCAATTCGGTTTCGTGTAATCTTCGTTCACAGCCCGGAGCATTCGCTGCTCGGAAGGATTGTGAATGGTGCTGTGTGTCCAGATGGCTGGTTACATTGCACGAAAACGGGTATGGAACGGGAAATTATTAACAATGGTTTTGTGTATCGTTGGGGGGGGGGGGCGTATCCAGCAAGTCCTGAAACCAGCCTTTCTTGGCTCTGAGACAGACCCTCTGGCTTCATTCTGTGCGACTCGAAGGGCGTACAGGACTGGCAAAAGGGATCGGGAAAGATAGGGCGTCACTATTCAGCGTATCCCAGCACCACTCGCATCAATATTGGAACCGGGCTGTACTATGCACCGATGATAGATATCAGCATAGACAATTGATAGACTGACTACTAACCTAAGAAGTTGCACAGACAGGATGGATGTAGTAAAGATGCGCCGGCTTGCGGGCGCGCCCAAAGAAAAAGCTGTAGGCCTATTCGTAGTTATAGCGTGCTTTGTCGAACAACCAGATGCATATTGCCACCAACTGTAGTGAAAGGATGGCCGGATTGCAAGACCAAAGAGAGCTATACTCATCAAGCAAAGGGTGCCTTACAACAAGACTACACCTGACCCTACCTTGACAAAGAATCCTAGTTGAAGGCAATTGGAGAATCGTACAAGTGGGCTGACCAGAGTCTATGCAGACCGCATTCAGTACTTTCGGGTCCGAGGCTACAGCGTTTACAGCGCAAGTTGTCGGCTATGACACGCGTTGCAGTGATACTTGTGCTCCCATTATAGTAGTTCATGAAAATATGTTGGACTGCTTGTGCTTTGGGACGCCAAGGACGATCGTATCTGTCAGGTTTATCCTGTACCTATACATTAGCATGAGGGGCGCGGTGGACCTTGTCGAGATCATCTTCTTGATGTGATGGTTCGCTAAAAATAATTGAATAAATGGGGCCACATGCAAAGTTAAAACCACACTTCGTCGCGCAGCTGAAGCTGGGCACTAAAAGCCTGCCAAGGACTCATTCAAACGTGGGAACATTAGGGGATCCCGGAAATTAATGCCGATTGTTCTGGACTCTAGATGAGCTCAGCTGCCTTGATTGGCATGACAACCGATGTGCGGACTATCTTGATGGTCCAAACCGTAATATCGGCCAGTTGCAGATAGGAGCATGCCATGGCTGTCCCTTCGCTCCATTAGGCTAATAAAGGTAATTATTCGACTGTCGTACAGGAGTACCGTCCGCAGAGGGTATCAGCCACCACCAGTGCGGGTAGAAAAAGTCAGCAGGTGAAGAGAAGAGCGTGTCGCAGCTATTGCTCCTGGAACACTGAAGATGCGAGTCAATCGGAAGTACTCCATCTGCACAAAATGTTAGCACGGGCAACCCTAGGACAGGTCCAACACATTCCCGGATAGGCTAGAAGCCATGGTCTTGAATGGGACCTTGTTCGAACTCTAATAGGGACGGGTTTCCGGGCGGACGGGCCTCTCTTAACCAAGGAAAGGCTGGGGCCAGTTGAGACAAAGAAAAAGGAATTAGTTGAAGAAAGTTTACTCACTATGGACATCCGTAGTGGAGAAAGGTTCCTTCGGAGTAGGAGTAGGCTTGCTTCCCATGAGTCACGGTAACTGTGTCTCCATAAGATGGTACTCTGTGATTCGCTAATCAGTCCCCACGGGTATTAGTGGACTCTAGATCGAGCTGAGAATGGCGGCCAAGACAGCAAGCAATAAACTTTTGCTATTATGTAGGCGGCCATCGTGGAGGGCATCTATCTGGACGTGCCAATAATAGACGGAAGGCCATGACGAGGACCGTTGCCTGAACAAGGTTTTTCTGACGGTCCCAACGGCAAGGCTACGAGTCAGTTGGATGCCATAACAATAAAATATATTAATCAAAAAAGAAATGGATGGATGGGATGGAGGAGACAAGGACAGGGACGATAACGGGGTGGATGGTCGAAGGCTCAATCGTTGTTGTAAGAAGGTCCATGCAGGTATGCCGCTATACTCTTTGGGGATGACCCCATGCGGGGCACGTGCTTTCGGTCGGGTTGGGTTTAGCGTCACGATGCGGTTCCCGATTCATGTTTTGGTGTGTCTCCGCCGAACCAGGCGCACGAAATTCAAAGGGGAAAGAATAAGCAGGGAAAACAAGCAACTCCACGAACAAATTCCTAAGATGTTTACCATCTGGAAAAGGATCCAGTTCGAGGACTGTCTATTCTCTGTTTCTGATCTTTCAGGAGAAAATTCGTCCCTTTGCCAATATCATCATCACCTCATTCATCATGACCGATCAGCAATGTCCTTTCTAGGGAGAAATTTGAATCTCATGGGTCTTTGACGCCCTACCCTTGGACTTCAACCCGCCGATAGGCTCCCTTCAACGGGCTAATGGGGCTTACCCTGGCTTGAAATGCAACCTCCGTCTCTAGCCCCCCTGGTTCAAGGTTACTATGGGATTCGCGCCGCATCCCGCGGACACATCCTGCACGACATTCGCCCTCCCTCCATTAGGGACTCCATACCCTTGTACAGGCCTCCAACAAATGGCTCTCAAATAAGACCCCAGCACTGGGTCTCCACCAATTATACATCCTTGGCTACTTTTTTCAGCACGGTGCATATCACATCTCAACCAACTAGCTTCCTGCGAGCCTGGATGATCATGCAGCCACATAATAATCCTTCACCGGATAAGGAAAAGAAGCCAGAAAATAGGAGGGAAAAGGAAAAGGGGAAAACACAAAACTGATTAAATTTAAGGAAAGAAAAAGAAAAGAAGCGAGAAAGAAGACACTTACGCCCACCCCCACTGGCTGGGATACCAGAGACCACTACCTACTAAGTAGGTTCGGCGGTCTCCTTTGCCCTCTCACCAAACAGTGCCTCTTCTCGATTCTAGAAAACATTGCCGTGTGCTCCGTACAGCGAATGTTACTTTCTCCGTACTGGGCAAGGGTGGTGTGACTGGAAGAAGGTATCATTGTTGCTGGAGCATATTCCCTAACTATTACTGGTACAGCCAAAAGTTCCAACAGATTAGTGTGTATGGGACGGGTCATGACCACACACTGCTCTTTGTATCGGCCGCATTTTGGATTCGAATCGTTTCCAAATCGTTCAAGCCCATGTCGGTGAGTGAACAAACCACCATACGGTAACAGAAAAGAAAAATATAAAATAAAATAAAAATGACAATAATGAAATAAAACAACCGTTGGATCGAACATGTCGATCGCCTGATCTCTCATTCATGCAAGAGCTACTGCTGCTCGTGCCTCAAGCACTCGAGATCCTCTTGAAAGCATCCAAGGCCGGAGCTCATGCCTAGAACATGGATTCTTTATTTGGGTCCACAGGCCCCTGTCTGGGACTGTACAGTTTTTTACGGAGTACATCGACCGTTCGTCAATGGCCTTGAAAGCTATTGGTTGTCTGCATCTGCCGAAGCTCAGTAGTTATCAACAGTCTCCATCATGCGACTGGGGTCTGCACGATTCCCGGAGTGATGATCGTCGCTACTAATCCGTTCTAGCACCATTCTAATTTGTTTTGCTGCACTTTGCCGTTCGCCGGGTGTTTTTGCCGGTGATGTTCTGTATGGAGTATGATCAATTCACCAATCACGCCGCCAGCTGAACCATGTCCAAGTTGGTCTCCATTCTGCTCTTGAGTTTGTGCAGCGCTGAAATCTGCCTAGACGTGGACCATGGGGATGTAACATGGATTTCAACGAGTGCCGTGTCTCTCCAACGGTTTCGACAGGGTCCCAAACTCTTTTTATCCCCTTCGCGCGCCATTTTAGTTGATACACCCATTATCAGCCAGGAAGGTAATTGCTCACTCTACCTATTAACACAATTTTAAAAAAAAAAAAAAAAATTCAAATAGCGAGAAAAGAAAGTAAGAAGGAAAATTAACAATAAAAGGAAAAAAAAAAAGGAGGGGGGGGAACCATATTGTTTTCTGGGAAATTAATGGGGGAGGGGGGGGAGTGTGCCGAATAGAGGAAAATGAAAAACGGAAGAAAAACAAAGGAGCGCATTTTCCATTCGCGCAAGCGTATCCCAAAGGCAGCACGAATTGTAGTCCGTTTCTGTTCTTTTTCTTCTGTTCAGTCATGGATCGGCAACAACAAATGTCTTTAACCCTGGCCTCGACTAAACTCAACAGCAAACTCGTGGCGAAAGTGGTATTCGCTTTCAAGCTTAAATTGGCAACCTGAAGCTCCCAGGGCTTGTGCACGACGAGCTTGTGCAGACATTCCCGCCGCATCTTACCAGGGTCGCTCATTGGTCACCGTAAAGGGGCCAGGCTAGGTAGACAGCGGAGAAAGTGGGCGTCGTGTTGGTGTGGCACGAGAAAATACCATGACATGAAGGAAGTGGTTTTTCATCCAACACCGGGAAACAGATATCAAGCGATCAGATCCCTCGACTGCTGGTCCAGGGCATTTTTACCAGTCAACAGCTCATTCTGCACGGCGGCTAACAGTTCTCTGCGACTCAATTCTCCATCTTCTTTGTCAAAATTCTTGATAAATCCACCGAGAGGCCAAATTGGAGCCCTGAGCCCAACAGTTATCTCCTTGACGTGGACAAGCGGAACATTGAGATAACCGATATACCCACATATAGGGTTGCATCTCAAAATTGAAAGCTGCAGTGATAGATGCAAAATAACCTTCCTCATACTTGACTCAACTTGCTCGTCATCTGCCAATTGATACATGTGAGTCAATTCCACTTATAAAACTCAGGATTCTGCACCAACAATAACTCTATGGCACATGCATCTCTATCTTCTCCCTGTCCTTGTCTTCCTTCTGACTCCATTCGTTGCTTTCGTTCTTTTTCTTGTGCCTTGTTGAGTGCTCTCATCACTATTCCGTTGTCTGAAATGCTTCGGCTACCACTTGATCCTTCCATGGTTATTGTTCTAAAACCTACATCTTTTGTTCAGCCAAGCCACTTACCACCGATTACCGCACCGTGGTGTGGGTAAGCTTATGCCTTGACAGCACTTGCTACATGCTGCCTCTATTGTAAGATTTACCTAGCAAGCCGTTGAGATCCTTTCCGTCATGGCTGTCGTGGCGAACTTGGAACGCTGAGCACAATCATCTACGGATGCTTCTATGTTTTCTTTTTTTCCCTTTCTAAATCCACGGAATTTCCTTTTTCGTTTGGCTTTTCTTTTCTTTCCTAGATTAGTTCCGTTCACCCCTCTCTGTCGCCCCTTTTACATGGACATGTCGTCTACCTCAGTGGGATCGAATACCTGATCAGCCACAATATCATCGAAGCAGATTTACTTCATGCACTAGTCGACCTTTGTCATCCTCGGGGATTTGGAAAGGTCCATAATCGCCTGTGGTGACTTCCTTTCGGCGGTTGGTTGAGTCACTGACGGTGTTATAGAATCGCGTCGCTATACCAGGGATCTCGCCATTTCTAATATCTCCGAATAAGAGCGATAGTGTATGTCGAGGCGCGCGGTTGTAAGACCAACAGGATACTTCACTAACACCTTTCGCTAGCTATCGCCTTTTCAGCTTCTAGCGTACCCTTGTTAGGCGCCGCCCAAGCCTAGCGCTCGCCGGGCGTACTTTTAGTGCTTTAGTTTGCGTTGATTCCAAGGGTCCCAGACGCGAATCGGCCTCCTGCGTCTAGCTTGCTAAGCCAAGATACCCTGATTTACCGATCTACCTTGTCTTGAGATTCCTTTTAACGGCAATTTGCTAGATGACTGTCGAAGTTTGCAAATGAATCAGTGTAAGTGGACTCATTTTCTTGTTAGTACCGTTGGGAACTGGATTTTTTGTTACGGGTATGGTTTTCTTTATTACCGCCAGTCTTTCCAAGATACGATCTGAGGATCAGGCTTTGCACTCGTGACCCGTTTGCGATTTGCTTCTGATAGGCGATCTACATCTGGGGTGACGTTTATTTCTTCCTTTCGCATCTCGAGCTCTTCTATTCGGTTACACCATTTCAGGCGCTCCATTCCTCTGGTATCATAACGACATCAGGAAATACTGCTTCCTTGGTCGACAGGGATGGGATACCCTATTTCATACCGGGCTGATCAGATAAATTGTGTCCTTTCTTTTTCGTTCCTTCCGGCTTCCTTATTTCCTCGCATTGTTCTTGGTGCATTCCTGTGATATTCTGGTTATCCAATTCTGGTTTTTTCTTCTCTCCAGTATTGCGCTGTGGATCTACTCGCTACCGAATGGAACCTGGCAATGCGATTCATCATGAGCTTTTTCTTAGCAACGCTTCTGCAGAGCACCTTTCCACTGGACGGCCCGATAAACACCGACGGGGACTATACAGGGACATCACGACCATTTTCGAGTTCGACAGGCTTTTCCATGGATGAAGAGGAAAATACCCGAAGGGGCGGTGCTGTTGGCCACCCGCTGGCGCAGCCAGTGTCAATACCAGCTACTAACGGCCTGCGATACAACACACAGCAGCCTGCGATGCAGGAGGTACCGTAAGTTGTCTTTCAATTCAGACTGCCCTTGTGCTCCACTTGGCCCGCTTGCAGCCACTAGTCACAGCTTCTCCCTTCTAGTCCGAACAAGCTGAATAGTTGGCCCAACGCCCTCGATTGATTTATTATTCTTTATTATTTTTGCTGTTATTATTATTATAATTATGATCATTATTGCTATTCCTTTTCTATTTTTCTTTTTCTTTTTTTTTTTTTTTTTTTTTTTT